TCCGGTTTATCCTGTGTGATTTGACATGTCTGTCAGCCTCACACTGTGCATGCAGCCGCCAACATCCTCTTGTTTTCTCTGAATACTAATTGTGGTCAAAGCCATTATGCATTGAGCAGCAGTGATGCATAAGCTGTCAGATTACCCCTGACCACAAAATAATGTGCAAATTTACATACTGTGCTTCGTGATTTCTTTTTTTTTCTCTTTCGTGATAAGATGCTCAAAAAAATAGTATTTTTTTTGTCATGCTATGACAATGAGGAACACATTAGAGACATTCTCATAAATTATTCATTTACAGGACCCTACACCAAACGTGCACAGAAATTTCCCAGATAATTTATTTTGGACTGAACACTAAATACTGAAAGTACTGTGGCACCGCGGTAGTCGCATTGCTGTTATGAGTATCAAGTAAATTGAGTTCTTTCAAGAGATTTCTTATCTCCTGTGGGAAGTGGAAGAAAGATATAACACACACTGTGCTAACGCCCCTTTGATTAGAAATATATTCAAGCTTTCATACTTTTAAAAGCTTTGTAATTGCTTTCACTGGGTGAGTTTATCTAAGAAACATTTTATACAGCACATCCTATTGCATTTAACACAGTGTCTGATTCCATATTGGTTTATGAGAAGAGTCATGACCTGGTTATTTTAAAGAAGTTGGTGAAACATTTCACAGTTCCAGCACAGCAGGAATACATTATATAAGCTGAGGCTAAAACCTTGGCAGACTCTTAAATAATAAAACCACTGTGGTTTTAGAGTTTCCAGCTCCACTTTCACGTCAATTAAATTGTGGTATTTTTGACTTGTGTAAATAAACAAAAATTTGGAGCAAATTCCACAAATGCACCTTTTCAGTTCATTTTCACTGAAGGTGGTCAGAATTACAGTTGGGGCTTTGATACAGTTATAAACAAATACACAGAGAGCATATTGGTCAGATTTTGTATGTTTGTCTTTCTTTCTTTTTTGTTTTTTTTTATGTGATTGGTTGTGCCACCCCCTGAATCCTTATTATTCCTAGAAATGGATTTTCAGACTCCCCAGACTAGTGCGTCTTTTATTTGCTGAAGGAGTTTTTAACAGATGAAGCAGACAACTGTGTCTTCATTGTATATTTTATTGTACCTGAATATCTTAGTAGAGTATCTAGATAGACAGATAGCCTATCTAGTTAGCTAGAATGATGGATTGATTACTAGATAAAAATCCTTTGTTCTCCAGGCCATTTGCTACAGATGACGGGGAATGAATGTTTAAATACATCTGGTAGCTCCAGCGGTTTTCCCTTACTCAGCCATCCAGCTTTTGGGGTCTACACATCAACTTCAGGCCGGTCTGAGTTTGGAGGCCTTGGTAGTCTGGGTTTGTCTGCCTTGGCTGCTCACCCCCAGTTTGGTACATTTCCAGGTAAGGAAGCTCAAGTTGCATTGTTTTTAATTTGACTAATGGAGGTGACAAGAGAGGTCTGCTTCATGTTAAAGTTTTTCAAAGTCAGCAATAGCAAGTCTTGTGGGATTTTCCTGGATTATATCTTAAGTGAAATACTAAGGACGGTAGTAAATTGTGCTATTACATATTTATCTTGTCCATGTAATGCATTCTTCTGATAAGCAAGCAAGTGCAACAGTATGCTCTGCTTTATGTTGTCATCCATTTTTTTGATGGAGAGATTATATATGAAACTTATTTATGAAACTATATGAAACTATGAAGACAAGAGCATCTAATTTGGTCCTTCGTTTTCAGTATTCTCTCTGTTAGAAAGTTTTGAGCATTATATTTTGGTGAGAGTTACTTGTGTGCATTTTGAATGACCAAATGACATTAACACTCAGAAAGGTGTGGCTTTTGGGAAACTGTATTGCCGCTGGGAAATGTTCAGCAGATGAGGCAAAACTCACACACAATTCCAGTTCAACCCCATACTTTGAACTGACTGATTAGTGTTATTATCCGATTAGATAAACTTCTGCTCTTACAGCTCGTTGACAGATTGAATTCTCTGTATATCTGTACATAGATAGAGTGGCTATTTTTGCCTAACTGTACAGTATCTCGCTCCCCCACTCCAGACTGGTGGCGGCCATCTGAAGCACATACCAGAGGAGCAGCAGCATTCTTCCCTCCTCTTCTGGGTCTTCATCCTGTATTTGCATCAACCTTCAAGAGCTGTGATTCTGCTCACTTACAGTCCCGTACCTCAGGTTAGCTCCTGCTAAAGGTCATACATGTTGTAGTTTACAGCAAAGCAAATAAGTTCTACAAAGACTGATTCAATAAACTGAGTGAGGCAATAACAAAGACATGCCAATGAAGGATAAACTAGCAAGTGACAGTTAGGTCCCTGCCATATATGTACATGATTATACTATTGCAAAACTGCTGTTGACATTGCACTGAAGTGCTGTTGAGATGCTGTAAAGTTGTTATTCTTTTCTGTTGTCCTCCTAACATGTTTGATTCATATTGCTTGTTCTCATGAGTGCCCATCTGAAGAAATGTACAATGCCAGTTTCTGTAGGCGTGAATGGAACAGTGAATGGTAGGAGTGCTTCCTCTCCTACTGGGAACTCTGCTGTGAACACCAGTTCATTTCCAGCAACGGGAAACAAGGACAAAACTAAAGCCAACAGTCGGAGTCAAAAGAGCAGTCCGGACCTAGGCCGACTACACCAGAAGACTGTTCTGAAAACGAAAGAAAAGGTTAATGTTTTGTCAAGCATTTACGTGTCTTTTCTTATTTACGGTATATGCATGAAAGCCCACTTCACTGATAAGTTTAATCTTATTGAGAAATGTGGACTTTTCTTATTTTTTAGAAACCCAGCAAAAGACCACAAGAGACCTCGAGCATGAGTGGTAGCCAGTCAGGATCCTTGTCAGATAGCTCCAGTGATGGTGAGGAGAGCAGCAGTGATCCTGATGACATGGAGGATGAGGAAGAGGAGGACAACGATGAAGATGAGGATGATCAGAGCAATGACAGTGAAGACTCTGATTCAGAGAGTCAAGTTAAATGGAAAGTCAAGGTAAGGCAAGGCTATGTTGAAGTGCTGCTGTGTGTGTTTAAATATTCAGCATATTCAGATGAGCTCTGAAAATTAGTTGACATTTTTTGTCTAACACTTTAAAGAGCTAGACATAGACAAAGATTTTCTTTTTTTTAGTTTCTTTTACAGAATAATGCATGAAGCCAGGAGTTATTTTGTAGGGTTAGTGTGTAACAGATTTTCAAAAAGTGTCCCTGTGTAAAACTGCTCTCTGTTAAGTAAATGTTAGTTGGATTGTCAAAAGCAGCTTTAGTGGTGGGTGGCAAACTGGACGAATGTGCTAGCTGACAGAGCTGCCACTGTGAGGCTTTCTCAGCAGGAGCTGACATGACATGCTGTCTTCTCCCTGTTTTCCTCATCCTCCTACTCAGCGGCTGACACAGAACACTTCTGAGAGTAAAAAGAATAGACCTTGCACTGCTGATGGAAATACAACTCAAGACAGTCATCGTGATAGTGTTCCTTTGACTTCCTCGTACCGCCTCCAGTCCTCTTCTCATCCTGCTGGCCGTCCTCAATCCACAACACAGTTCCTCCAGAGCTCCAGGGCTGCAGAGGAGGAAGGCCAGCAACACATCAGTGTCATCCAGGCCACAGGGCTGGCAGCCAGCAACAGTCCCTTAGCACAGTCCCACAGGGAGGCCTCTCCTCTGCCCTCCTCACCCAACCCCATATCCTTCTCCAACTCACCCAAACACTTGCCTCCTTCCACTTCACCAAAGCACTTCTCTCATTCATCCTCACCAAAGCATAGCTCTGTCTCTTCTTCTCCAAAACCTCTTGCTCTCTGTTCCCCTGCAAAACTCCTTTCTTTGGGTTCCTCTCCTAAATCCTCATCTCTTTCTTCTCCCAAACCTCTCTGCCTCTCTTCTTTACCCAAACCACCAACACTGTTAGCCTCAAAAAAGCCCTCACATAAACAAAACATTTTGATGCCCTCTCCCAAACATACACAGCCTGTTGATAGCCTGAAGGAGAGCAGTGGAAGCCTCCCAGATGAAATCTCATTACACTTCAATAGTTTTAAACTGAAACAGGTGAGTTATATTTTTTTTCACATTGCTGCATTGTAGCTGGTTAACTTTTTTTCTAAATTCTACCTAAATTACAGAAAATAAATTTCTGTAATGAAGCTTTAAAGTGTTTCTCTCTCTTTTTCAATAGAAGGAGCTCTGTTTTCATGTACTGTCCATCATTTTCTCTGTCATGAAATAAATAAAAATCAGTGAGTTCCTTCACAACAGAAGATGAATGCATACACTATTATCAGAGCTTTTATTACACTACAAAAGAGTCTGACCACCACATGACTAGAAGTCTAGAAGTGACATAAAGTGACGTTTAGCTCTATTGGAAATACATCTCAAAACTGACAAGCAATTAGCTCTGTTATGCTTAAGGATGTTTGTTATCAAGAGAGAGAAATCGGCCTCTTTTACAGGACTCAGTTATTGTCACTATTCTGAGAAGGAGGGAAAATGTGGCAATCTGTAACAAGAGGGTTTAAATTCATATGATGGTGGTACATAAAATACAGGCTTTTGGATGCCAGAGTATGACAATAGCAACAAATACAAGATGACAGCTAAAGTTGCACGATGGCACTAAGCCAAACAGTTTGAAAATATTTTTCCACAGCAGCCTTTTTTTCTTCATTGTTGTTGACAGGTTTGAGCCTGCTCTTCATTGTCCCTGTCTCTTATTACACCTTAAATTCCTTCATTCACAGCCCACAGTAATGTAATGTGAGTGACAGTTTGTGTAATTACTTCCTTTTTTTCTTTGTTTCCCTTCATTTTTATTTAGCCCCTCCATTCCAAGGACTCTTTCAAGCAGACTTTCTCTCTGCAACCTTCGAGCCAGAACTGGTATAAAAGCTACAAAAATTCAGCATCCTCTTCACCATTGCTGATACCACCTAAATATTCGTCAGATATGTTGAGTAGTCATTTGCTGTCTCTCCCACACAGCAATGACACCAATCTGTTCCTGAACCATCGCCCTAATGGAGCGATCCACAGCGAAGTTCAGGATGCCCCTTTGGCTCTTATCACTAAGCCCCGCAGCCAGAGCAGCACTCCCAACAGCAAGCCACTTCTGGCAGCTACCAGCCCTTCCTACCCGATGCCCATCAACTTGAGCACTGGCACCAAGGAACCATCAAGCAGCTCTGCTTCCCCACTTAAATCTTCAGCCTCATCAGGGCTTGCTCACGGAGCAAGGAAGACCAAAATTTCCAAATCTCTGCATGCAGGAAAGAGCCTCCCTAAAACCAACCCATCCTGTCTGCCTGTAGACTTGGTCAGAGGGAGTGAGTCTGATATCCACAGCAGCAAGGACTCAGACTCAGACTCTTTAGGAGACGACTTCGATGATGAAGATGATGATGATGATGATGATGATGATGATGATGAAGACGATGAAGATGATATTGAGGATGAAGATTCTGGTAGTAGCCTGTCAGGTTAGATTAAACAGACCTCTCTTTAACAAAGAAATGCCATTGGTGCATGTAGAAGCTGGTAGATCAGGTTTCTTTGAGAATTGAGCAGTGTTCTGTGTGGTTTGGTTGTGAGAAGAATGCTAATTAGGATTTATTTCTGCTCTCTTTTTCCCTCTGTCACGCTGGAATTCCCTGCAGAGTCAGAGAGCAATCTGGAGAGCGACTCTGATGGCTCTGAAGATGACATGAAAGAGCGCGGTGAGACAGAAGCAGATAGTGATGCAGAAAGGACTCCTCCGAAAGCAGCTCAAGCGAAGTTGTCTACTCACAAGTCCTACTCGAACCTCTCAGCCAACTGCTCCCTGCTTAACCTGCAGATCATCAAGCCTCCTAGTTTACCTAATAATCTACTCACCCCCACCACACTGACCAGCGCAGGGGCATTGAGTAACCACAGCACCCCATCCCCGTCCCTAACATTTGCCACACTGCCAGGTAACAAATCCTAGTTTTCTAAAAGCCCAAATACATCTATAAACTACAGCTTGAAATGAAAATTCACTGAGATACTTTGATGTCTGGTTCAGGAAAGTGTTATTCTCTCAGTTAATAAAGCAGGATCATGCCCAGAGTCAGGATGGTGTTTATTTTCCCCCACTCTTGTCATCCCTCCATCTTGGTTAGTCAGACTAAAACCTGTGGAAAAGGACGCTTATTTTTCCAGTATGAAAACAAGAATATACAGTATGTGTCTTAATAGTTCCAGGTTAAAATGAGCTCTCTGGAAGAAATTTGTTGCGTCATTGTTTTGATTATCTCCAGCAGCTTTTGCTTTAATAACCCAGGCAGATGCTTTATAAATCTGATACTGGATGAGTCATGGAGCATATTACATTACTAACAGCACTGAATTCTGACTTTCCATAATGAGAAAGTATTCATTTCTTTCCATTTAGTCTTGCTATTGAGTAATAAAAGCTACAGTATGTGCAGTGAATTACTCCTGATGAACTTGGAGACATTTTTAAACTTGTTATGGCAGCGGTTAGGTTTGTTGCTGTACACGCTCTGTTCCTGTGTTTTGAACCTCTGATTTGTCAAAAGAACAGAATATTGTTTGTCTAATATTTTATATTAATGTCCATGTATCTTATTGCTGAACCTGACTTAGGCTAACCTACCATGCTGTACTGAACACAGATTCCACTGCCCTGGATCATGTCATTTAGTTGGAAGTTATGTGATATAAAGTTTGCATTTTCATACATAAAACAACTATCCACAATAGATTGATTTGTCTAACAGAGACTCCTCTGTTTTCAAGAATGTGGCTCCCTCCCTGTAAACATGCCAAGTTTTTTTGCAATTGTTCAGGTTGAAGGCGCTGAGTCATTTCTCCTGTTTTTAGGATCAGGAAGGAGGAGAAGAGTGACAGATGAGAGAGTTCTACGATTGCCTCTTGATTTTGGGTGAGCTATTGTGCATGCACTTCATATTAAAGGAAACACACAATGAGTGGATGGTCTGGGCATGTCCGATTTGTCCTTGCTGTCACACTTGCTGTATTGTTTGTGTTTATGCAATTGGTGTTATAGTTAAATGTCAGCTCACTGAGGGCTGACTAGCGACCTTTTCTAAAAGGTCATCTGTGGACAACTTTTCTTTGTGGAGCCGACTCTATCTCTGAATTTGCTACATGCAACAGACAATTAATTGAGTTTTAGTAAACTTAGTGTTGACACGTTTAGCTCAGTAAAAGAATGAATAAGAAATACTCCATTCTCTCAGTGTATATGTGGGTAACTGCAACATGACACTGGGCAAAAAAATACTAATAATGCTCAGACAATTTTCCCAGGGTAAAAACTGTAATAGTCTTTTAAAAAGCCTTGCTATGGTTCCTGATTTGAGCACAGTGACATCTTCATCAATGCCTGAGTATGAGCAGACCACAAAAAAGATCCTTGCCTTCCTGTAAGGGGCCTTAAAAACCCAGTCTTGAGTAGTAAGTCAGAGTGGGCAGGAAATGAAATGAGGCCCAGCATTTCGACACAAGGGGTTAATTGCATCCAGCCTCAACACAGACATGCAACATTAGCAGCTCTCTGCCCACAAATTCTGCAGCCTTGGATCAGAGCCGCCTTTCATCTTCTCAGGATGTTTTTCATCAGCAGGTTCACAGGAAGCAGAGGCCACAAGACTGTATTTCAGCCCCTTTCTCTGGGATAACAGCCTCTACATGTCTGTTCTGTAAGCTATGGCTGCTCTCCAGTGGAGCTCATGGGGGACTGAGGGGTTGCCCCACTTGGCCCATGGCCATTTAGAAGTCTGATTACTGCAAGGGTCACAGACTACACAGTACACAGCTGTACAGACATCCGTTACATCATTTGTCAGCAGGAGGGAACTTTTATGATAGAAAATTTAAGATTTAAGATATATATTATTTATGACTAGATACAGTTGTAACAACAGTATTATGGTATTATTTTCATATAAACGATGTGCTACATTGTTTGCAATTTGTTTGTTCAGGTGGCAGAGAGAGACCCGGATCAGGACTGTGGCAGGTCGTCTGCAAGGGGAGGTGGCTTACTTCGCCCCATGTGGGAAGAAGCTACGTCAGTATCCAGATGTAATGAAGGTGAATCAATAATTTGTCACTTTATTTTATGGAAAGTACCTTTAGATTTAAAGCCTTAAATGATGGCACATACTAATTGCATCATTATAGCTGTATGTAATTGCCCACAAAGTCACAACATTTGACTGGTAATAAAACTCATAAGTTCCTTCTCATGATTTAATTAGTATGCATTGTTCTTTTGTCTGCAGTACTTACTGCGGAATGGAATAACTGAAATCTCTCGGGATAACTTCAGCTTTAGTACAAAAATTAAAGTCGGTGACTTCTATGAAGCCAGAGAAGGACCAGAGGTAAATGTTGCTACTCCTCTCTTTTTTTCTTTTTTTCTTTTTTTTTCCTGTGAGTGTTTCTATTGAGAATGATCTCCAAAACACAGCTGTTGTTAGATGACATTTCATCATGATGTAGTCATATCTAGAATTTGTATTTAGTTTTATTCACTGAGGAATGATGACACTGATTTTGTGAAAATAGTAATTTAATAGGTATAGCTGGGGAATACAAATAATTCAATCTACCATTGTTGTAATGTGATTCACACCTACCTCAAAGCCATGATGTGTAAACTGCACTGATAAAATTCCTACATCCATGTTTGTTTTGATCACCTTGTGGTTTAAGAGAAATGAAAGTTACACTCACATTGCAGTAGACATGCAAGTATTTAAATTTTTGCATACTGTATCTGTTAAGGAAACATCTCTATCAGTTTTTGCAAAGTTGTAAGCCAGAACAATAGCCTGCTTTTGTCTAAATGCAGGAAAAGTACAAAAACGCATTCTGCATTTTGATGTTTATCCCCACAGTGTCTCAACACTGCAGCGCTAAGGAGTTGTGCCAGTCAACCTGATGATCCATTAAAGAAAGCAATTACTAGATAAGTCAGTCTAGACATTTTTTCTTTTGTTTGTTTTTAATTTTTCTTCTCTGTATTTCATGTTAAACAGGGTTTACAGTGGTTCTTGCTGGCTGATGATGAGATCACTCCTTGTATCATAGCAATGGATGGGAGGCGCAGCCGCCGCTTGAAGTCTGAGCACCAGCCTCCTGGTGATATCACTGGGGCCCGACAATTGAAGGCTCATCCTCTAAATGTTGGTGAAAATAACTTTCAAGATGTCAGTAATGCCAAGCTGCTACGCAAACTGGAAGCTCAAGGTCAGTTTACATCTTAGAAACGTTTCAGTGACACGTGTTAAAACGATAAATTTCCACTTTGTGGGTTGTTACATTTACTTTTTCCAGAGGATAATTAGCCACCTGCACATATGTGATACCATTTCAAGATATTTCCATCTTAGCTACAATAGAGTTTAATTACAAAACCCTTTTCGACTATCTAAACTATCAGTGGTGAATGTTTTGGTGTCAGCACCTCAATCCAAGCTGAAAGGGCTTCACACATACTAAAACCATCCAAGAATAGACAGCAATTTCTGAATAGTCATAACATAATGCCGCTATTAGACATGTTGCATATTGAGCAAGGCCTCAGTCAAGGGCATTTTGCACTCTTCCCATGGATATAAAAACTGTAGCTTGTTGCCAAAACTCCAGGCGTTTTCTCTGGAGGTCATTTAGAAGGATTTAAGGAGTAACTTTGGGTCAGTTTTTCATTTAAGTTTTTAATTTAGTAAGGTCTGTCATTTCATATTTCATATTTTATGTGCCATGTTGCAGAAATAGCTCGACAGGCGGCTCAGATCAAATTGATGAGAAAACTAGAGAAGCAGGCCATGGCGCAAGCAGCCAAGGAGGCAAAGAAGCAACAAGGTAAACCGTCAGACTCTTCTCTAATACTAGGTCATATGCTGTTTGCAAGCCTAATTTGTTTTTGTTTTCTAGCAATAATGGCTGCTGAGGAGAGGCGGAAAAAGAGAGAGCAGATGAAGATTCTTAAACAGCAAGTAAGGAGTTTACTTTGTGTGCATTGTTTAATTTTCCATGCAGAGATTTTATAACTATCTTCAGCTGCTCCGTTCTGTTGCATATTCAGAGTTTGTGCACTCCAAGGTGAAAAGGTTTTAAGCACAGTTGAAATGCTTTGAAATTCTAGAAGGAAGTTGCTATCCTTCAGAATGCTGCACCTTCCTCATCTGCATAGACCCACTGTACTTCTTCACCCCACACCCCACTACCCTCCGCCTCGCTATAACATGCATGACTTAACAGTTAATTCATTTGATCTTGCCCTCATCCTTTTACCAGGAGAAGATCAAGCGCATTCAGCAAATTCGTATGGAGAAAGAACTCCGTGCACAGCAAATTCTCGAGGTTCGTCCTGAAAGTTATTGCAGAAACATTCTAAAACACTTCCTTTCTGCTGTTGATAGGATTTTTAAAAAAGCCAACCAAAGGCTATTCCTAAATTATTTCGTCCCACTTTTGGTCACATCCAGTGAGTACATGTGACTAATGCTTAATTGGTTTTTTGCAAAAGTGCCATTGAATATGAAAATCTCCTCAGACCGTGATGGAGCTTAATACAAAATACAGTATTTCATTAAGTAAAAGGTGGCCCAGAGTTTACCATGGCTAGGTGGAATACCTATTTTGCATTCCCTCACTAATAGAAGCTGTGAAGTATTTTAGCTTTTATAAATCAAATTTCAGTTGACACGCTTGGCAAGCAGCTCTTAACAGGATTTCATTGGGGCTATAATTACTGATCGAAATTTTGCTTAATTTATTCTTACTGCCTGCTGGTGTTTTGTAATAACTACATTGCCACTGCCGTTTTGTCTTTCAGTGTTAATGGGAGGGAATAATCATGAAGATTTCAATATGTTAGATTTGATATTATCTGTGAGCCGTTGGCTCTATTTATCTTTGTTTGAAATATTTTCTATTGACTTCAGCAACTGTCAAACAGATTAAAAAATTGCAATCTAGCAAACACATGCTAAATTTATACAAATTATTAACTACAACACTTAATTGATATCACTTTTACAAGCAAGATTTATATGTATTTGGAGATCATTTTCTCGTCCTTCATTATTTTCATGTAGTGGTCAAAATGTCAAATGTTAATTCAGTCAAAGCTTTGTTGTGGTCTACATACTGTATGTGTTTTGAATGAGTGCATCAATCACTCCTGTTTCCTGACTGCAATACATTTTTTCCAAACACAGGCTAAAAGAAAGAAAAAAGAAGAAGCCGCCAATGCCAGAATATTGGAGGCTGAGAAACGAAACAAAGTGAGTAAGATGAGATTTATGAGTAATCTCTGTTTTTGTCACTGTTGCTCCTGGTCTCAAACTCTGTAAGTCAGCCTGTTCTCTTGTTCAACCACCACAAATGTCCCATATGCCCCCGACTCTCAGTCTTTGCCCCTGACTCTCAGTCTTTGCCCCTGCTTCTCCTCTCTGTAATCTTTTTGCTCCATAGTACTGCTTGTCAGTGCAGAAGGGGTTTTTCCGGCCTTGGTTTATCACAGTGATTAAAAGAGGTTGGATCACCTCCTTGTATTCTACATATATCTCTAAAACGAGGGTGTTTTTCGTTTTCACATTAGCTTGACTATTAAAGCCAAGAGACCTGGAATTTTTGCAGGCTGTTGGTGAACAGGATGAGAGGGCCAGCCATTTTTGTACACTTTTTAAAAATTATGTAAATTAGTGTGAATATGTTTTGGTTTCTAATTGAATTAATCTTTTTTCCTGAAGGAGAAGGAGATGCGAAGACTGCAAGCTGTCATACTGAAGCACCAGGTGGGTATTTTGGCCATGACCATATTACTTGAATAACGACCACATAAGTTAAATGTCTTGGGAGATGGTCTCTAACTAATGATAATTTGTACGATATATTCTGTCAAATTATGCTTTGGGATTCTTTGGTGTATTTTCATTTTAGCTTTCTATAGGTTGGATTTTTCTTGCATTGATTTTCTTTTGTGACTTCTCTACTTCTTATTACCTGCTAACTGTTTCTACCAGGAATTGGAGAGGCATAGACTAGATATGGTATGGGTATGTTTGTTTCTGTACATTTAACAACATATTGTGAATGTGTTGTGATAAATGGCTGCCATCACAGCAATGCATTAAGTGTGGCATTGGCTACAGTCATACTACATCCCTCTGCATGGCTTTTCCAGAACAGTGCACTGCATATGTCTGTGCTATTTGTCTCTCAGAGAAAACACATCCATTATCTCGCCAATATGATCAAAAATGTCTCGACTCCACAGAAATTATACAAGTATGAAAAGATTTCTGATAACCTGAAAGAATACCGACGACCTATTTGATTGTTTCTGTTTTGGACTGAATAGTTAGGTGCCTTTTTCTCTACAGTATGTGAGCCAACTTTCTTCATCCATTTTACCATCTGGAAAAGTCAATATACAGTTTGTATTCTTGACAGTGACTTAATGGAGAGAGTTAAGGACCAGAGCAAAATTCGTTAGTTTTCTTCATCTGAGATTCTACCATGGCAGTGCAGCTGTGTCATTTGTTAAAATTGAAGCTATGAGCGTGGTAATCTTCTATAGTTTAGTTTTCGCAATAAATAAAGCGGAGTTAAAATATCATTAATTAAATTTAATCTCTAGGATGTCTTGATAGTTTCATATGACATTATTCATTAGTTTATTGGAAATGCACTCATTCTTTTGCTTGCTGCTGTAACCCTTAATACCTGCTGCTTACAGTTGTGAATTTCTCGGCCTATACCAGCTTTCAGTTTGCCGCTTGCCAACATGCTCAGATTAATAATGGCTGCTTGTGACTTTGAGCTTATGCTTTCTGTACGCATCACTCCCCTCATTAGCTTTTTGTCGATCATTATGTTCCATTTGGTTTAACTGTTATGTATGTATTTACACTTAAGCTGGCATACAATGTGCAACGTTATGATTGTGACAAACGGTGACCAATGCTGCATCTTCTACTGTGCATGCCAAGTGGTTCATACTCTGTTTTGTATGTATGACCCCATTGTCTCTTGATGAAATAATAGAAACTGTAAATACAATAGAAACGATGTGCCTGTGCTCTGCTAGGAGAGGGAGAGACGCAGGCAGCACATGATGCTCATGAAGGCTGTGGAAACCCGTAAGAAGGCAGAGGTGAGTAACTGCTGACTTGCTCACATTTCCTTATCTCTGGTTATTCTCTCCTCCTGTCCGTTCTGCTACACTGTTTATTGTGTTTTTTTCCTTCAAAATAATTTCATGTGGTGGTGGGACATAGTAACATTTATGTTTTCATGTTTTAAATCTTTAATAAATGTTTTGTTAATTCATCTCTTTTTGATGATTAAACATTTGAGGTCATAGTTTCTGTTTTCATTCTGAGCACCCTCTGTAAAAAATAATATCATGACAATATCTGACCCAGCAACAATTTCAAGGGACGTTTTGAATAATTCTCTTTCTCTCGGCTCTAGGAGAAAGAGCGTCTGAAGAAAGAGAAGAAGGATGAGAAACGGTTAAACAAGGAGAGGAAACTAGAGCTCAGAAGACTGGAACTGGAAAAAGCGAAGGAGCTGAAGAAGCCAAATGAAGACATGTGTTTAGCAGATCATAAGGTATTCACACATTGTGGATCTGTTGGCAGATGAAAATGAGTGTCCATATATATCGCCACAGATAGTCTCCATCTGTGGAGTAGATGTGTGTGGAAAGATTAAATTTTCAACCAGGCCAGCGATTTTTTTTGACATGGAAATCAATCAGTATAATCACTGTAGGAGCTATAGGCAGGATGATTAGAAATGCTTTTGACAAATTTATGGTTTCATTGTTTCACTATCAGATATACCAAAATAGATGCTTAATATCACTGAAAGCATCTGCAATTGATTAAAAAGAAAACAGATGTAGGTCAAAATACTGCCACCAAGTGGCTACTGAAATAATAACCCCAAGTATTACTGATCAGACACTTGTAATCAAGAAATTCTGAGCTTGTATTTATAACATTTCTTCAACTGAACTAATGAGACAAATTAGTCTGAAAAAAGTAACAAAATATTTGAAACTGTAATTAATTTTAATATTGTTATGAAAATGGCTGGTTTAAATCCAAAATAACATCTGCTTCTTTAGAAATGAGTGAAAGATAATCAAGTTTTATTTCCCTCCAGCGGCTTCCAGAGTTGTCACGTATCCCTGGTCTGGTCTTACCAGGAAGCACCTTCTCTGACTGCCTGATGGTGCTGCAGTTTCTGCGCAGCTTTGGAAAGGTCCTGGGATTAGACATGAATTTAAACATCCTCAACCTAAGTGACCTTCAAGAGGGGTTACTCAACATCGGAGACAGTATGGGCAAGGTGCAGGACCTGCTGGTGAGCATGGTCTCTGCAGCTGTGTGTGATCCTGGTATACCTGCAGGTCACAAGGTGAGAGTCATTGTAAGTGTAGGACTTGTACAGTTGTTGAAGTGTAAATGCTTTGGGTACTGTACATTACATGTGTATTCACACACATCCATACAAAACCATTTGGAAAACTCTTTTGACTTTATTGATTCGGACACTACTATTGTACAAATATCACTTTTCACTACTACTTGGTTTTATCAGTACTTTGGCTCTGCAGCTAAATGAAGAGTCTATTTAGGAGGGTGTAAGTGTTTAGAGCTCTTTGTACACATCTTAGATTAAGACCACAATTTTAATTCATCCCCCCGATCCATTCCTCCATCCTGTGTAATTATGCCTTTAAGTGATTTTACATAATCTTGCTCATAATAAGAGGCTGTCTCAGGCTGTTGTGTCTTGTGTCCACACCAAGAGAGGTTTTCATAAAAGGACATTGCATAGCCAGACTATTAACTTAAACATCAAGCATGTTTCATAATAATCCATACATGCTAAATGGGTCCCAGATGCATCCCCCAGGGGCCACTTAAGCACTTAGCATCAAGAAGAGATTATTGCTTAGGACAGTGCTAACAGACTCCCATTGTGGCCTGATTTCCTTGAGGTTTAAGTATACAAAAAAAGAATTATTCTTTAAGCTTAGTGGGGAAAAAACATTTGTTAAACACTGACTAAACTCCATCCTTTAAATATTTCTTTTAGATCAAAACCAGCTTGGGGGACCACTTGACAAATGTGGAGATCAACCAAGACAATGTGTCTGAGATCCTGCAGATCTACATGGAGGGCCATTGTGAGCAGACAGAGCTGGCTGCTCTGGCCCTTAGCCTCAGGACTAAGGCTTTTCAGGCCCACAGTCCATCTCAAAAGGCTTCCATGCTTGCATTCTTGGTTAATGAGCTCTGCTGCAGTAAAGCTGTGACCAGGTGAGGGATCTCCTTCCTTCTGACACACATGTGGTCTTTTATTTTTGCAATTTGACAGCACAACAGCAAGTGTGGTACATGATGTTAATGGACTATTCACAACAAAATTAAACCTGGGATTTTTAAGGCATTGATACATTTGTTACATAAATATAATATACATAAAATTGTTTGAGTGCACTGTAAAAAGTGTTTCTTATGTGTCTGAAGTAAACAAGTTCATCTCTTTGACTGAGAGTAGAAAAAAATTACTCGATTTTATTCATGGGAGCTTAAATTTTGATGAAATAACAGAAGTATCGGAAGGAATATGACAAACCATGGTCTGATGGACAGTTTCACAAGGTTGCATCAAACTACTTGTCATTAATTTTTCATTAGCACCAGAAACACATCTGGTGCACACTGCAGTGTGGTGCAAATGTATCATGCACTTATTATACAGAAAGGTCACAGAAACATCTTTTTCAATATGATACTTTTCAGTGAGATCGACAAAAACATAGATCACATGACCTACCTGCGGAAGGATAAATGGGTTGTTGAAGGAAAACTTCGCAAGTGAGTATGTGCTTCGTCCAAGGGGTTACTGAAAGGTTCTGTGCATGCACTAGTGAATGAGACGGTGATGCTGAAATGACTTGGAATTCTTAACCAGTCAGATCTCACAGGAATATAGACTCTAAAAGCTCAGTTTCATTTCTCCTCTGTCCATTTTTGACTTCAAAGACTGAGGAGCATCCATGCCAAGAGGACAGGGAAGAGAGACAGCAGTGTGGGAGGAGAGGACAGCCACACCTGTGTCATCCCCACTGCCAGGAGCAAATGCAAGCGGAAAGAAGGGGACAGTGAGGAAGAGGACGACGAGGATGACGACAGTGAGGACCAAGGAGATGATGATGATGAGGAGGAAGAGGATTCAGGGGGAAAGAAAGGGAAGAAAGCGGAGATATGTGAAGAGGAGGTCAGTAACAGCATGATGCTTTTTACTAGTGCCAGCGGCAAAATCAGTGTTTGTTGTAGTAAATGTCAGCCGCTCCACTGGCCTCACACTAATGAGATCTTTTCATCTAGGACGACAGTGTACACTCAGCCAGCGTGGAAGAGCTGGAGAAACAGATTGAGAAAACATATAAGGTAAACTTTAACTCTTTGAGACCATTTTTTTCTCAGGAGGAACTATTCAATACATCATAGTTCACCCTCTTGTATTTGCTGTCTCTTTAGCAACAGAGTCAGATCAGACAGAAGCTGTTTGACTCATCTCACTCACTGCGCTCCATGATGATTGGACAGGACCGCTACAAGAGGCGTTACTGGGTCCTTCCGCAGTGTGGTGGCGTCTTTGTTGAAGGCGTGGAGAGTGGCGAAGGTGCAAACCCAATCTAATCGCTCAGTTTTTATTCACTTTTATCCTTGTGCAGGATATAAATTTGAATGTGTTTTTGTGCACTTTCCCTGAGCTGACCGTTTAATGTTTCTAAGGTTATGACGAGGTGGAGAAAGAGAAGGAAAGACAGGAGACTGCTCAGGTGGTCAGGATAAAGGAGGAGCCACTGGAAGAGACAAAGAAGCCACTGGTATCCAGCCCAGCACAGAGCACAGATGGTGATACAGCCACACCAGAGACCCAGCAGGACAAAGACAGTCTCAATCTCTTCCTCCAGAAACCTGGCTCCCTATCTAAGCTCAGCAAACTCCTTGAAGTAGCCAAAATGGTTCGAGATTCAGACATCAATTCTCACAAAAGTCAGAACAGTCATTCTGCTAAAATCCCTACCACTGCATCTTATCCCTCACATCCCACCTCTCAGACAGCAATATCCCACAGTCCCCCGCCTGCAGCCCCTCACAAGGGGCTCACAGATAAAACAGATACTTCAGTGCCATCTCTTCTCACTGCCCCCCAGCTCAAAAGAAGTCCCTGGATAACCTGCAGCCCTCAATCTGTCCTTCATGATGACCAGCTCTCCAAGATACTGAATGACAAGAGCAACCAATGGTTTAGTCTCTTGCCTCGCTCTCCTTGTGATGAGTCTTCGGTCACCTCTGGCTCTAGTCCTCCAGCCTCCTCCTCTTCTCCACAGACCATAAGCACCAAATCCCCTTCCTCCCTCTCTCCTAATCCCCTAGCTACAGCCAGCTACAACGCTCCTGCTGGGATCAATAACATACAATCACCTGCCCTTCAGGTTGGTGGATAACAATAATGCTGTATCCATCACAGACACAATTATTTCAGATCACACTGTGCTTTTTTCAGAAAACTGACATGTGTTGCAAGCCAATGAGAAACTCTTAGCTTTGTTGCCATGATTGTCTTTCACATAATGCATGTGGTACTGGAATAAAATTGTATGTGTATTCTTCCTCTCAGCAAGCAAAGTCTGGCATTCATCAGAGCAGACTGACACTGTGTGACGTGTCCAGTGCAGCGACAAGTCCCAGCCTGCCCTTCCCTGGCACTTCTCTACCCCCCGTGCTGGATCTGGCCTCCCAGCATGCAGAGGGTAATGGGAACAGGGTCCTCTTCCTGGTGAATAACAACACTGTCAACAAGAGTGAGACCCTAGAGGCCCTGAGTGACAAGCCCCCTTGTGCCTCATTCCCTGCTGTGGAGGTGGCCAAGACCCAGGACCACCCTAGACCTCAGCCTATCCCCGAGGGTAAGAATGGCTTGCTGCCAGTTCTCACAAGTGAAATATGCTGGACTAAAGATATTCACTGCCCAGACAGTGCTGGAATACATGCTGCGATGACTGTCACTCAGTTATACAACTTCCCTATGATGGTAAAATTAAGCAATGATATGATAATAGTTTTTTCCAAAATTCAATGGTGTTGTGTGTGTGTGTGTGTGTGTGTGTGTGTGTGTGTGTGTGTGTGTGTGTGTGTGTGTGTGTCTGTGTGTGTGTCTGTGTGTGTGTGTCTGTGTGTGTGTCTGTGTGTGTTGGCAGAGATGCTGCATGGTTGGTGGCGAGTGTCAGACATGGAGGAACTGCACATCCTGGTCAAGGCCCTCCATGGTCGAGGCATCAGAGAGAAAGTCTTGCAGAAACAGCTCCAAAAACATATGGAGTATATGACCCAGTTGTGTGCCAACAGCAAAGATGGTGTGTCCACATCTCTTCTGCTCTCTTTAAGTCAGGATTCAACAGACATGAAGTGATACAAATAAACAACATATTATTATTTGATCTTTTCAAATGTGTCACTTAGTCACCTTACATTAATATGTATAAATACAGACAGTCGTTTGCTGTAATGTTGTTTGTATGTATCTGTGGGGGCAGCGATTGATGTGGCAGAGCTGGAGAAGCAGGAGGTGAGTGAGAAGACGGTGGAGAGTTGGTGTGTTGAGGAGCAGGCCATGGAGGTGGACATCAGCCTGCTGCAGCAGGTCGAGGATCTAGAGAGGAAAGTCATATCTGCCAGCCTGCAGATCAAGGTACAGGAAAGAAAGCATCCTGCTCTTTTATCTACTTACAGCTCATATAGATAAGAAACATCTGGTTTTGCGTTATAACTTTTTGATGCAGTTGCAGTGCATGAGTATTTCTGCTGTATATGCTGGGACAGGCTCCAGTGTCCCTACATCATATGGATGTGCATTAGTGTGTCAGCAAACGCCATATTGTGATGGCCATATTTCACTACTGTATCCTTCAGGGTTGGATGCATCCTGAGCCCCAGTCAGAAAGGGAGGATCTGGTGTATCATGAGCACAAACTCCTCTCTTCTCCAGCTACGGAGAACAAGGTTCAGAGAGAAACCAGCCCTGAAAAACTTCCTGGCACTGTGGTGCGGCGGCCTAACAATCCCCTTGATATAGCTGTAACTAGGCTGGCAGAGCTGGAGAGGAACATTGAACGAAGGTAGCTAAAGGGAAACCCACTGGTACCTGTGTTTGTATTAGAAGTAGTATGTAACTATGCATAATGCAACACAGTGGAAAAGATCTGACGTCTTCCAATGTGCAATATACAATGTACTCTTAATTTTGCATAAGCCATGGCTGCTTAAAACTTAAAAAAATTTCCTCACTGGATGCAATGGTTGTTATGGACTGTTATCATTCAGTGTGATGAGGTTACTGTGTGTATATGTGATTGCAGCGAGGAGGAGGTTGCTCCTGGGATGAGGTTGTGGCGTAAAGCGCTCGGTGAAGTCCGCAGCTCAGCTCAGCTGTCACTCTGCATTCAACAGCTGCAGAAATCCATTGCCTGGGAACGGTCCATCATGAAAGTGGTTAGTGATGCCTCATTTCTCCCTCTGTCTCTCTCCATCAAAGATTTGTTTTTATCTTCAACAGTTTCATCAACTAAATTTAAAGACCAATTTATAGCCAACTCTACAAATACCCCTCTATATGAAAATCAAGCAATGCTTTCAGGCTGCTTGGCTTCTTGTTTCATTTTATAAAAACTACTATCTGATCCATTGTTTTTTTTTTTTTAATAATTAATCAAATCTACAAGGTTTATCGTTCTTAAAGGGGTATACAGATATACAGTATCTCTGTTTGAATCTGTAACTACATATATTTTGCTGTTTCCAGCACTGCCACATCTGTCAAAAGGGGGATAATGAAGAACTGCTCTTACTTTGTGATGGCTGTGACAAAGGCTGCCACACATACTGCCATAAACCCAAGATTACCACAGTACCCGATGGTGACTGGTTTTGTCCCACTTGTGTTGCAAAGGTACACAAGCATGCCCTGAGTGTTTATTCACAGAGCTGAGACTCTTTTTCTTTGTCATTCATTTCATAAAAAGTCCACGAGTACCGTAGATATAAAGGGCCTCACTCTGTGTAATTGACAAATGACGACTTAATTCTCTCACATATACACATCCCATTAATTGATTTGAATATGATATATGTTTTGTGTGGCTCTGCACCAGTCGTTTGTGTGTTCTGTCTTTCAGGAAAGTGGTCATTCCCCCCGGAGCAGGAAGCAACAGAGCCGAACAGCTGGAGGAGGAAAGAAAAGCAGTGAGGTAAAACGAAATGGTAAGCCATCTGTGGTAGGAGAGCTCATCAAAGAGGAGGCTGCCAGCAGCAACAGCGTGCCAAAGAAAGGTACCAAGGAGTTAAAGAAAAGGAAAAGAGACGACAGCCCGACCAGCTCCCAGGCCAAGCATGACAGCCCTGTCTCCTGTACAAAAAAAGCCAAAATGGCCAAAGACACAAATGGGCTGGCGATGTGCCGGTAGGTATGAACACATACTCACTGTATGCATAGGACCTATCAGCATTTGTTCTACCTGAACTCATTGTTAAATAATCTGTAATATTTAAATGAACTCCTGTGACAACATGTACACAATGATCATCCTTGTGCAGTTATGAATCTCTGATAATCACTTTTACCATGTCAGTTCTTATCATACCAAATCCTAATATCAAGTGATGAAAAAAAAAAAAAAACTGACATCGATGTTTCAAGCATATTCTCAAACAGATGAAACTATATTAAAATTAAGTCAAATTATATTTGTAGTGCCAATGGCTAAGCTTTATCTGCTGCTTGTATCCTCCAGAGTGCTGCTGGCTGAGCTAGAGGCCCATCAGGATGCCTGGCCCTTTCTCACACCAGTCAACCACAAAGCTGTACCTGGATACAGGAAAGTAATCAAGAAGCCCATGGACTTCTCCACCATCAGAGAAAAACTCGCCAACAACCAGTATGTTTGTCTTACTGTTACATTGTTTATTTTAAAGATCCATGTATGTTTTCCATTTGTATTTTTTGTATTTCATAACTTTTCATTTTTGATTTGGATGCTGCACATAAATTGAAATTAAAACCATTTCTAATGATTGCAGGTACTTAAATTTGGAGACTTTCATCATTGATGTAAATCTGGTTTTTGATAACTGTGAAAAATTCAATGAAGATGATTCTGAAATTGGACGGGCTGGACACAACATGAGGAGATTCTTTGACAAACGATGGACTGAACTGCTGATGTAAAAAATTTCAAGTGCGGACTTCCTACTCATCTTTCTACATATCAAACTTCTTCTTTGGTGTTGGAGGCCTTCTCTTCACCTATGACACTAAATCAGTATATGGTTATAATCACACTGATGTGCATTGTGAAAGGACAAACACTCTTGCTGTATCTGCTGAGAAAAAAAAAACACTTAATAAATTAGTATCTCCAAGTGCAATACTGTTTTCTTTATCAAAATGCACTGACTTTTGGACTCAATATTGTATTTGGGAATCAAAGATTTCCACTGTAGATAGGTCACTGACTTTTTTTTTTTATCATCGGTACAGCAGTATAGCTTTGTGTATATGTGTATTTATTTTTCAAGTATTTATGTTTCAGTCTTTTCTAAGAACAAGTCGGAAATCGCACACAGCTTTAACAAAATCTAAAGATTGTTTTATGGACTATTGAACAAGTTAACCGAAAAAAAAATGTTTACAGCATTGTAACTATAGTGTGCCAGCAGTACTACTGTTCATCTGCGTTTGTGAGTTAATTGTGTAAAATACAAGGAGGCATCACTGACACATGTATAGTGTTCATTTCTGTCACAGTTTACACGTCTTATCTCTAAAATGTATAGTGTGTACATACAAAACAGTCTTGTTGGATATATTGTCAATGCATAAGGATGATTGTAGCATTTAATACAGTATATGTCTTACACATTGTCAGTATGTGTCTTACACAGTGCTGATTATCCACTCAAACACTGTGGTCTCCTCAGTATTGTAGTGCCTGACCTCTGACCTCTGAACACTGTATGGAGGAGTTTGTTGGTTTTTTAAAATACTTTCAGTGTGTGTACTGTATGTGTATCCTGCACAATATACTGTAAGAAACCCTAACACAAAATGTCAAATTCTTAAGAGCTTTTCCTCTGAACTGAATTGATGTGGTGCATAGTGTGTTTCATTTCCAAGCATTTCCTTCAACCAGAGTCTTGTCAGACATCCTGTGGTGGACAGATGTGAAACCTGCACTGGGCTTTAATCCAGCTGGGAGTCAGACAGAGTCACGGTCCACTGGAGGCATCTCAAGACAGCTCAAGTCAGAAGACTTGAAGTTGCTGTATTTTATTATGAATATTATGAAATGAGTAGCAACTTTTGTAGGAATATTATTTTTAAATAGTGGATGTGTGGCACGGATAAAATAAACCTGTTTTTCCAAAATAACACTATTAAGCGCTCACTATCTTACCCTACTTAGGCAAGTTATCGTTATTTGTTTAAGTGTGAAAAAGCTAAAAACTGTTGCAATTTTTCAATCATCAAAAATCCTAATTTTTGAATCATCATAAGTGGAGTTAAAGTATTAGTGCCAGAGGTGGAATGTAAACAAATTAATTCAGGACCTAAGTACACCTTTTAGGTACTTGAGTATTTAAATCTTTGCTACTTAATACTTCAACCACTTCACTGGGAAATATTGTGCTTTTCACTCCACACTGTTTACTTTAATTTCACAGCTGCAGTTACTGAGTACTCGGCACATTTAAATATACAAAAAATGTATTGTTATGGATTTAATAGCCTGACAGAATATAAAGTAGACAAAATCAGCTCCACTGAAAAGAGGATTATGGAGGGTTTTACATTTTATCCCTAAAATAATTTGTTTCAAATAATGCTTCTATTAATACTTTAGGTGTCAGACTTGTACTGTATCTTTACTTTTAGGATTAGAGTCAATTCATCAGCAAGTTATTGTAAAATGAGGTTTCTCTCCATAAATACACTGAAAACAAGTTTGTTCTGTAAAAAGAATTTCAAGCAGTAGACAAAAAAACCTCGACTATGAACATTGTGTAACTCAATAACTCATCGTCACATGACAGATAAGATCTCTGAGATAAACAGACTTTAAAGCTGTGCTGAAACAGGAAGTACTTTACAAGAGAGACACAGACAGAGGTCAGTGCCGTCAAACTGACAGCTGACAGTCTGCCGCTTGCCATCTCCTCGCCGCTTCCTTTTCACAGGCGCATATTTGAGCGTTTTGCGCCACCTTGCGAGTGAACTGCCTCATCTGTGGCGCCACCACTCTCATCTCGGTCACAAAATGGTGTCAATAATTTGCACTCTGCGAGACCACACAGACGAGCTCAGCAGCTGCGCCTTCTCTCCATCTCTCCTGGCGACCTGCTCCGCTGATAAAACGCTGCGTGTTTATAACACAGCGGACTTCTCGGAGCTTCCCTTCTCTCCTCTCTCGGGCCACGGCTACGGGGTTCACTGCTGCTGCTTCAGCTCCTGTGGCAGCTTCCTGCTCAGCTGCTCCACAGACGGATCCGTCATCGTGTGGAGCTCGGGCACAGGTGAGGTGGTTGCGGTGTTACAGCACCCGAGCCGCAGCCCGCTCCGAGTGTGCGCACTGGCATTAGACTCCTCCCTCGTGCTGGCAGGGGCCTGTGATGGCACCGTGGCCCTCTGGGACTTCCCTTCCAAGACATTACGGAGGTACAGTTTAACCCACAGGTGAAGCTAATCAACAGTTACAGGTGCGTATTCAGCAGAGCAGCAGCCAGTTCACTGCTGAGGTCTTGCTGAAAGTATTTCTTTAGAAAACGTTCAGAACTGCTATAAGCAACTATCAAGGTAAGTTATCTTATTTATGAAGAGTTTAACGCCCAAAAACCAAGGAAATCTGCTGTGTGTGTGTGTGCATAAACTGTCCGTCAAAACTTGCAGTTCAAAAAGACAAAGTTCAGTTTGCTTTGATACGTGACAAAGAAGAGCGTCAAATCCATATGTGAAAATCTGGAACCAACAAATTAAAATATTAACATGGGCAAACGACCTCACAACTTTAGCTTGAAGGTTCATTCTTGATTTTCGAATTAAAAAATTGACACACAAAAAAAACAAACTAAAAAAACTAATCACATGCTCCACTTACTTGGATTTTTATGTAGCTTTGGCCACATCTTGCATCCTTCATCAGCAGATGGAGTCATCCCACAACAGTTGTTAGGTTCTACCTTGAATTGTAAAACTCTGATTAATTCACAGAAATATGTGACATCAAATCATTTCCATCAAAGACAGAGTGAGTCAGAGCACAGACAAAAATAAATAAATCACAAACAATGTTCTAACATCAATACTAAGCAGTGTAAGTATTGTGTTAATGTAGAATCTTATTTCTTATAGTACGATGCTCATTGAAAAAGAAAAATGATTTTCAAGGCCTTTAAACAACTCGACCTCAAACTGCCCTCTCAGACATGGGTTTTAATACAGTCTAGTCATTTATTAACTGAGCCTGTTTTTTTTTTTGTTTGTTTTTGTTTTTTTACAAAAACATTACCTCAGGACTACAAAAAAGCAGGTTTAACATCAGGTTCCTGCTGTCAATAGAGACGTGTGGGCTTATGAAGATCAAATGGCATAACCAGCTAAACAAGTTTTTGTTAACAGGAGTAATATACTCAGTAAATCTGATGGAATAAGTTAATAAAACTTTGTCTATTCAAAAACATTTTATGAAGATTATTTTTTTAAGAATTTCTCTTTTAATCCCCACCCACACTAACTAAACTCAGGACTCCTAATCCAAGTTTGTTTCAAAGGGCTACTTTTTAAACTAGAATTGCTTATTCTAGATCACGTCCTGTTCTCTCTTTTTTTTTTTTTTTTTATTCCCTTTCTGATAAATCTTGCGGTTCATAACGTTTTCCCTCACAGATGCAGCTCCGTAAGCGAGGCCAGTGTCGTGGCTTGCTGTTTCTCTCCATGTGGTCAGTTTGTCGTGACTGGCTGCACCAACGGAGACCTTAAACTGTGGGATGTGGACATCAGCCTCCTGCATGCTGAGAAGGACGCCCATGACCTGGGAGTGACCTGCTGCAGCGCTGCATCCCAGCTTGAAGTTGGTGAGTTCAGAGAGGTCTTTTAAAGGGTATAAGGGTCTTTAGAGAAGACAGTTTTGAAAATCAGTTATTTAAGTCTATCAAGCAAAAATGCCAAACATGAAACATAAAACAAGCAATTTGAAGGAGAACTTTAAACAGAATATCAGTAATGAAAAAAATAGTTGCACCTTTAAACTCAACAGCAGTGCATCTTTCTAATGGTCTGAGTTTCTCACGGACCTCACTGTGAGCAGTAGAAAAGTTCAGCTGTTATTCGTTGTCTTTTTTTGGTGGATTAATCCTTTAAAGTTCCAAACTGAACAAGTGTTTCAGTTTCAGGACTTACTGCCCCTGTTCATTTTGGATAACATACTATAAACCCACCCAGCACAGATAAAACTGAGATCTCTCACAGCTGGCAGTTGGTTAAAAGCAACCTGTTGAATCAAACATGACATTCACAGTGTTTATTTTTGTGCCACTGTTTGGAAATAAAAAGCACATGAATAATGTTATGAAAATCTGGTTCTAACCAAACACTGTATTTAGGCCACTTAAATAGTAAAAGATGCTTGCCATGTGTTCACCAACAGTCCGTCAGATAGTATTTGTCGTCTCTTGTTATTAAACTCAGTCGAGCATGAACATCCAGAGAGGGGGAATGTGGCTGTTTTTTGTTCTGCAGATGGCTGCTGTGTGGAGTTTCGACTGGCCTCCTGTGGACAGGACAGCCAGCTGAAAATATGGATTGTTTCCCAGCGTGAAGGAGCAGGTAGGCCCCTCTGCCCGCTTCCTCAACCGAAAACTCCCATCACTCGAGAGAGAGAGAGAGAGAGAGAGAGAGAGAGAGAGAGAGAGAGAGAGAGAGAGGAGAGAGAGAGAGAGAGAGAGAGAGAGAGAGAAGAGAGAGAGAGAGAGAGGGGAGAAGAGAGAGAGAGAGAGAGAGAGAGAGAGAGAGAGAGAGAGAGAGACTTCTGACTGCTTTAACCTTGAAATCTCTGCAGAATAGAAGAATTTTATTAGTGTGTGGAATAAATCAGCTGCAGTCTGACTCATTAATAATGCATCACTTTAAGACATTCTGCTGAAATACAGCAACAGAGGTGTGTGGGGGGGTGGGGGGAAATCAGGTGCATATATCCAGTGACATTTATATCTTGTACGGCCAATGGCAGAACAAGAACATTTCGTGTATGCTCATAGGTTGTGTAACCAGCCTACAAACTGTATTTCTCTTAGCGTCTGTGAATACACCACATTGTTAGTTCATAAGATGTGTTGCCGTGGTAACTGCCATTTCTTTGGGTGGGGGGGTGGATGGATGTGTCCCACGTTGTGACTTGCTGTGGTCCATGGGGATTTTTTTTTCATCTCTGAGCAGCTTGTAGAAGGACAAAGAACAATGTCTGTCCTCATTTAATTTCTTTAAAGCGCAGTTTTTCAGATGCTGCGTTTCTCTGTGGAGGAGCTTGCAACAGGCTTGCCTTTGTGAAATGTGCATTTATCTTGCCTTGGCAAAAGGACTGCATGCTTGAACCCCTCTTCTGGTGTTTTATGAGAAAGAGACTCAAGTGTAGATGATTCAGTGAAGCAAGGGACCAATTTTGAAGTTGGGATTGATGTGTCTGCCGTTGATGTGGAACATTTTTCTAGTCCCTGCTTACTTTGTGAGCCCTGTATATTGATAGTCATATTCCAGGGTTATTTGGGAGCTGTGTGGGTCAGAATTTTAATGTTATCAGTTTTGCGACCTTTTCCTTTCGCCTGGCAGTATGTGTTGATGCCTCTTGTTCACATGTCACATTTGTCACATTTTGTCAGAGTTAATAAAGCAGTTAATGTGTTTTTTTTTTTTTTTGTTGTTTTTTTTTTCTCCTTACACACCTATAATTGTTTCATATCATAAATATGCATAAAAATAACAAATCAGCCTTCCACAGAGCCTGAAAAGACTATTTTTAGTCTAATGGATCAGGGGGAGGGTTTATTTAAGATGTGTGTTTACAGGCTGATGATTTTAAATGCTGCTACAGACCAATTAGCTTTGGCACATACAGCAGAAGCACAGCACAGTGGATTGTTTCTGAGAAGTGTCTTTGTCTCTTAGGCTATGAATACCACAGCTTTATTGCCATCAAAAAAAATCTTTTGTTTCCAAGCAGCTGTCAGCAGGTGGCACAGCTCTGAGCCAGCAAGAGGGAAGGAGGTATTGATAAAAAGTTTTGTGTTGTCAGACTGTGGGGTAACGGTGGGGATCCAGACAGTGATGCACTTTGAAGTCAGTGTGTTTGTGTGTGTACAGTGTGTGTACACATCTGTGTGAGAGACTCAATTTGAGGATTTTTTGGTCAGTTCATGGACAAATTCCAGGAGGCTGGTAGCTGAACAAATACAGACACAACTTTACTTTGACCTCTTGGTGTGCGTGTGGGTGTGTGTGTGTGTGTGTGTGTGTGTCTTTCGTTGACCCTCAGCCTGCATCATGACCCTCCTTCACACACTCACCAGCCATTCGGCTCCAGTCCTGTCTTGTGCCTTCTCCTCTGACGGAGATCTGGTCGTCTCAGGGTAGGACACACTCATCATCACACAACACATAAATGACTTCCTCTTGCCCTTCCATCTGTGAGCAGCAACCTCCTGGGTCGGCAGCTGAATTCTGACCTTTGTGTCTGTCAGGCTTATGTTTTGTAAGGTCATTTGGAACAAATTAAACTTAAATTAATCTCTCCATCTTCAAAATGCTCCTTTTTTTTCTGAGCTGTAAGCGGCAGATGCCACTACTCAGCACTGGTCCTGCTGTTCCCTCAGTCAGCCACAGGAGGAGTGTATTTTGTTGTATATAGCTTCTGTTTGGGTCCTTCTGCCATTTCTGGCTTTAATTCAAACAAAATGAAGGTTAATCTGTGCTCTGTTTCTAGCACTGTAGAAACGTTTGAAAAAGTGTGTTGTTTTTTTTTTTGTTTGACAAGAATCCAGATTTTTTTTCTTTACTTATTATTCCATAATGCAAATGCTCGCATATGGATTCTGCAAATGAAGTTGACTTTGTTTACTCTCTACTTATTCAACAGTTCAGTGGATAAAAGTGTTACAATATATGACGCGGTAAGTAAAGCCCCAAAAATCCCAACTGCTGTAAACACAGAGATGCCAAACATTCCCGTCTTGTCCATGTTTGTTTGTACTTTGTTTACAGAACCTGGGAACCCTGCTAAACACTTTGAAACAACACAACAGGTAAATGGCCTGATCCACCGCTGTGCAATCTCCACAGCTATCAGAATAGGAGTCCCAGTGTTTTGGAGCAGAACGTGTGATTTTTGCTTGATTAGTTTTTCCCAGAAGCACTGGGTGCAGTGATGCAATAGTATATCCTTCAGCGCTGCTTTCATTGAAGTGGCACCACAGGTAGGCACCAGCAGAGGACTTTGAAGTGCTTGAAAGGGTTTAAGATACTGTACGATCCAAGACTTGATTTTTTTTTTTTTTTTTTTTTTTTTTTTTTTTTTTTTAAAAGAGCAAAACCTGACTTCTAAAGCCGATCTCTTCCTGTACCAGTTTCACTCTGTCATACACACCCTTCATGTTTCTGCTGCTCTTCCTGCACCTTGCAGGTACGTGACTGCTGTAGCTCTGTCTCCCACCAAGCCGTGGATTGCAACCGGCTCCATGGACAGAACAGTGAACGTGTGGAGAATAGGAGATGGAGACAGCAGAACTGGTAAATACTTAACAGTGAATTGTTTAGGTTGGCGCCTACAAATGCACAATCACTCGTCTTTTTAAAACAGACTGTTAGCAGCGACTCAAAGCCCAGAAGCCATTTGGAGTGCCAAAGCTTCCCCCAAAAGAGTGTTTTGGGAGATATCCAGCGAGAGAAGCTCCTGTTACATGTGTATTGCTGTCTGGCTGCGGTGTCTGGATGTGATTGATGTTTATTGGTGCAGCGGGGCAAACTACCACTGAGCCTCAGAGAGCTGTTGTTATGGAGGTGAATCCTCTTTAAAAAAAAAAAAAAAAAAGTTGAAAGAAAACATTTGGAATAGTAAATGAAAAGGTGCAATCATCAGACATCTGGAGGCCTTGAAGCTTCATCAGGGAAGCTCCCTCATCTGCTATTAGTCAGGCTGATGTTGATTGTTGACAAAGCAAATTCCATCTCAGTGAAGCTCTGCCTTTTTTTTTTTTAGCACACCCCCCCTTTCCTTTAGCTACTCTTCTCTTACTTTCTTTTCACATATTAAACTTATTCCCTTTTATGTTTTCCTACAGCAGCTGAATCAAGACAGACAGTGTGCCAAGGTAAATAAATGCATTACTCTGTTTTGCCCTTAGAATTCTTCATAGTGATTCATAGTGCTCTTTCTGTTAAAAAGCACTGCTCTTTTATTTTAATTTGCACTGTGTGTGTGAATGACTGAAATACCAGAGTCTTAGTACAGGTGTTTCGATCATTTAATGTCTTGATCTTTTATTTTGAGCTATTGTTGTTTTGAGCTGTTTTGTCTTTCTTGCATGTGACGGAGAGCTTTTCTTGTGATTTTGTGTCATGTTGGTAAACTGTATGTTGTTTTCTGTGAACCCAGAAAAGAAAAGCCTCTGTTTTGGCGAAGCTAATGAGGATGAAATGGCAATTGTCTGACTTTAAAGAATAAGGTTGGCATTATTCAGTATTTTCTTATAGTCAGCAAATCCCACAAAAAGCCCAAAACCAACAAGTCTGTCTCTCAGTTCTTTTCCAAGCCTATTTGTTCCTACTGTATTGTAAAACAACGAATGACAAAATATAGTTTCATTTCCAGAGAGGCGATGTAATCTCCCAAAACAGGCACCGTTGTTTTTAGCCATGCTAGCGCCGTGACCCTACAGATGGCAGTGTTGCTCAGTCAGTCCACCACTTTGGTCCAGACTGAAATACTTTAAAAATTGTTGGATAGTTTGCCATGAAATTTGGTACACACACTCTAGTCCCCCTCAGAATTTAGAGCAAAAATACTTTAAATAGTAGTTAGCATGCTAACATGCTTAACTAAGATGATGAACATGGTAAACATATCTGCTAAACATTAGCATGTTAGCATCGTCAGCATCGTCACTGAGTGCCCACTAGAAGGGCACTCAGAGTGCAGACATCCAATGTCAAACATTCACCAAAATTCAGAGAAAAAAAAAGAAATTCATAGTAAATGATCCAGATCTGCCCCAAAATGAGTTCTTCCCTGGCCTATGCCCCACCCCTCCAACAAGTTCAGTGCAAATCAATGCAGTACTTTTTGCGTATTCCTTCTGACAAACCCGGGTGAAAACTTAAAGGAGGTAAAAATGAGTGCTGTGTGAGATATGAATAAGTAGACCCTTCACGCCCACACAGGTGCTTCCACTTATGTTGCCTAATGAGACCTCCTTCTCAGGGCAGCGTGGCCGTCGATGTGTCCCACATCCCTACTACATGATAATTCTACACAGTATGTATTACACACTAATCATTACAGTTTACTGTTTTAGCACTTAGTCTACAAGAAAATCAACATACTTAACCACTTTATACAAACGGGAAATTCCACAATAACTTGCATTGAGATGAGTGAAGTCACAGTTTAATAAACATTTGATATCGCATGTAAACTTCACAAATTGAAGCAAGGTACAGTATCTTCCTGATGATTGATGATGATATATATTGGCACACACCATCCGCTCCCTCACTCTCCTGTTAATTTTGTCGCTGTTCACCTTTTAGGGCGAGGACAGCTTAGACTGTCATCATTCTTATTGGTGTTCAGAATTTGGTGACTTTATTTGCTTTTCAGCACAGCTCTACCCGGCTGCTTTAGCCAAACTAAAGGTCTAATCAGCCAGAGTGATTGAATACGTGTGTTCGTAGACAGAGCCTTTAATAAAATGCAGTGGAAAACAGGTTTGTCTTTAACTCTAAGTTTTATATGAACTGAGAGTTGGAGCAGTCCTCCAGATATGTGGTGTGTAATAACGCTGCTTCTCTGTTAAATTTAGACCATGAGGACAGTATGGCACAAAGAAATGAGCTACATCAGGCTTCGGCTACACAGGCAATGCTTATTAGTAGAATAAATTCATTGTTGGTTTGGGCCTTTTCATGGGATTTGTGGACAGTAAGAAAAACAGACTATCACCAGCCTTATCCTCTAAGCTGTGAAGAATGGAGTTGATGAAGAAAGCTTCTTATGTGCATCTGTCCAAGTAATTAAACACTGCAGTGTGAGCTGTCCCAGTCTGCAGTGAAGCTCTGAGGTTTTCATGCTTTTGGCACAGTGTTTCCATGACTCAGCCTCCTAGACTGGAAGACTCCACACACTATCAAGCAGAGAGGAGGTGGTGTTACTCTGCTCACTGTCGCACAGAATGAATAAGTACATATTTTGTGTCGGTCAGTCAGTCAGTTCACCACTTTGGTCCAGACTGAAATATCTCAGCAACTATTGGATGGATAGCCTCAAAATTTTCTGACTTTTCCTGTAGCGCCACGTGAAGGTCTACATTCAACAATCCTAGACAGAGAAATGAATCATAGACCAAGTGGAGATTCAAATGTTTGTATAGACAGGGGGATCATTGCAGCCACAGGACATTTTATAATTTGACTGAAGGTTGTTTCTTTTCTTCTCGACATTCTCAAGCACAGGCAGGATCTTAGGGGCTTATCAAATTGCATTTTGGCATTCATGACAGAATCTTTTGTGGAAGAAAATATTCATTGACTATGAATTCTTTAAGCTAGCTGAAGTAGCAAGAGGTGAGGGTGAAACCTAATGGTAGTGGCAATGAGCTACACCTCCCAGGCTTCAGGGTTATCCTTCACACGGCTAATGATGGGCGATGGGAACCGTGAGGCTGCTGTGAGGTGTCATCAACCGGGCCGGCACACAACAGACTAGTTTATCTCAGCCTTGTATGATAAATGATGGCTGCTCACTTGCATGGTGTCATGTGAAGGTTGATGAGCCGCATGCTGGCACAGTCTGAAATAACACAACCCTGGGTTTCATTTTCTTTTCTTTTCTCCATCACATGCTTGTATGCAAGATCAGGGATCTGTGCGTGCATGTGCATGTGTGTGAATGTTAATTGTCACTCCCGTACTGGCGCAGAGGGAGTGTGTCCTTCCGTGGAGTGTGAGGGAAGCTGTTTGTTTGCATCAGATAAGTTTTGCTGCAGGAGACGGGGGTATAATAACAGAGCACTTCCTCCCTTCCTGTTGTGTGTTTTGCAGGAAGGAAGTTGCCGGGTCACTCCAGGCTGCTGGTTGCTGATTGGTCGGAGCAGGATGTGCAGACCTGGCTGCGTGAGGAAGGACTGGAGGAGCTTGTCGGCAACTTTAAAGCCAACAACATTGACGGACCAGAGCTCAGCTATCTGAACAAGGAAACAGCCGCAGAGTTGGGCATTGGTGAGGATGAAATATAAAACACAGTCGTGTTCATGAGTGTACAGTACACACACACAATCACAGGCAAACTGGGATTCAGTGTTTTTGTGGGGATTTACTGTTTGATCCTAAAACATGACAAGCCCAAATTCGATAGCATGATATAAGCAGCTTTTATCGATGCTCTGATTTATTCCCCCCACACACACACACGCGCACACATCTCCTCCAAAATAGTGATCTGATTTAGGGACATGAAGCTGTAGCATTTCTGTCTGTTTACACAATCACAAATCACGTTGCGAGGACAGTACCCCACAGGATGACCTTTACGTCACAAACAATGATAATCCCTCTCAAAATAAGATTAGTCCATGCTGGGTCGTCCAAGGTCTCAGTGCGGAAAGTCACTGTACAAACTGCAGCCAGAAAACAAATATTCCTCCCTGCGGGTGGATGGACACACTGTAGTGTATAAGCAGCAACATTGACATCAACATCATCACCATCACTAAGGCAGTTATGCTTTAAACAAATATCTTAACATTTTTTGGGGAAATATGCTTATTTGTCTTGTTGCAGAGTTTGACAGATATAACGCGTAAATTATTGAGCTCTAGAGGTCTTTAATAAAGGTGGCTATTGTTACCTTCAGATAGAATCTGGCTAGCTGTTTCCAACTGTTTTCAGTCTTTATGCTAAGCTAAGCTAACCAGCTAGGTTAACAAGGAAACTAAAAAACTGCTCAGTGTACCTCACTTCAGTTTGGTAGACAGTCAGGCTGTGGGCCATGGAGCAAGTGATGAGTTTTTGGTGCTGCGCTGTCGTGTGGCTCTTTTTATAAAGCACTTTGTGTTTTTGTTTATAACTCTGGGGACAGATGCATAAAACTGTGCAGGTTCACAACTAGAACCCTTGTGTACACACAAAGGCATAAATATATATACGCCCTCTTTGAGTGAGAGTCATAAAAGTTGTGCAAAAGCCTGATCTCCACTCACCCAATTAGCCATAGATGTATGTCGACATGCCTTTTAATCACTTCTTATATCAATACTTCTGCCAGCTCTACCGGTCCTCTCAATGAAAAGAATGACAAAGAAGCAGCGCAGTTTCATAGATATTTCAATGGCTGAGCAGCTGTCCTTACACTACTTACTGTATGGCACCTGTAAACTATTATAGTCATCTCAATCATCATCATCAACCATTTCAATAAAGGACAGGATAGGGAAAATACACAGCCCAAGGTTAATAATTACACTATACATCTGTGTACAGACTGCAAAAGTCATACACAATCAGTGAAACTGGTCAACAACCTAAACATATCATATTTTATTATTAGATATATTAGATTATTGATCTCAACTTATATTGCGGTTCCACTTCACCATACCACACACAGTTTACTCTAGAAAACTGTACGTACACCTGGTCAAAAATATGCATGAGGTGCACACATCCACACTGCAGATAGAAACGTAATTATTTTCTGTCAGAATAACAAATTTAATGGATTGCATTTTGTGTCCCTGGTTAGAGGTATGAGTGCTCTGTAGTTAGTATTTCAATTCCGGTAGTTTCAGATAAGCGCACTGCAGTCTTGAATTCTTATTTACACACACAGTTTTGAAGGGAGTGTATCAAAGAGTCCACATTACTGCATGAATGCCATAATGCCCAGAAAAGCTGTCTTTAGTCAGATTACAGCTACTTTGTGCCTGCTGTAATCACGTAACGAGCTGCATCACAATCCCACCCTCAGTCACGGTAAAAACGCCTTTTAGCTGCAGTTGTTTGCTTTAACTGGACAGCAGTAAACAGTAAAAAAAAAAAAAAAAGTGCTGCTCAGTTATGCAAAGCATGTCTTATGGAATGAGCATCCCTTTCCCATGTGTTTAGTATGCGCTCTCATTACCACCGAATGAGGACAGAGGAAACAGCAGATTGCCACATTTCTTGTCCTTTTTGTGCTGTGTGCAACCAACAACTATCATTTTCCTCACATGCTGTTTGTGTAAATGTGTGCGTGTGTATAGACACGTACTTAATCACACATGCAGCACACACACACACACAGAGCAAATTAGATTCCAGCGCACTTTGCTTGATGAAATATTCATGAATCTTTGAGTAAAGGGATGGAGGAAAAAAAAAAGTTCCTCTCAGATATAATTCAGGGTATCTCTGTGGAGACAGACACAGCGACTCATCAAATTATCAAATCTAAATGTAAAGTGGACAGTATAGTACTAATGGTTTGTGTTACCATGAAAATGTGGGAACTTAGGGAAATCTTAAAACCTATAGAAGTATTAGGTGCAGTTTTTCAGTGCAGTCGTTTCTTGGATGCTTAGAACCCTTAATGGGTTCAACACGTTTCATCAAGAGAAGACATTTTGATTGAGTGTAGGATCTAAACTATTTGTGATTGCGACAGCAGGCCTCCGCTGCTGCATCTGCCTGCTTTACTGCCTGTATTTTCAAGGCACTGAGGTCATGGTAACTTGGAGCCACAGTCTTTGTGATGTGTACTTGAATGCTGTCATCCCTCCATCTCTACTTACAACTGTATGAATGAGTGCAAAATTAACAGAGACTCACAACATTTCATTTGCAGTAAGAAAAATCGCAGGTGCTCAGCACAGAGTAGCCGTCTATGACTATCTTGTCACTTTGTTGGAAGCTGATTGTGTCCGATGAATGGATAAAAATTTCCTCTGAACACAGTGCCCCTGGACATCATGACATATGGGAGGAAGGGTTTAAGTGCATATGCTACATATTTAAATAATGCTAGAGTTTAATTCGATTAAATTTACTACACAGGCTCACTCATTCTCAAAACTATGTAAAATCTACCCAGATGTCTCTCCCAGATGTGTTATATTCCACATTCCCTCATAGCTTATCGCAACTTCATCCCCTTTTGGTCTTCTTGACATCATCTCAAGTCATTAAATCTACTCTAGAACCAGATGTTTTCTTAAGCATCGTCAGCACAAACGAATCGATGAAAAACTTCACCACAGCTCTGGAACAAAAGGGAACATTAGATGGTAGAAACCTGTTGTCCCAACCATTAGAATGGAGCTGGTTGCATGTGGAGATACTGTGTGTTTTAAAACTAGAATAGGAGTCTACCATGCTAACAGTTCTGTGAGGCTGCACAGCAGCTAAACAAAAAGCTAAATTCTAATGTTTAGCAGCTATAATTTTTTTGGACTTACTATACTATGACATTTTTATGACTTTCTATAATTTGATGTTTTTATGACTTACTATACTATGAAGTTTTTATGACTTATTATACTATGACTTTTTATGCCTTACTATACTATGACGTTTTTATAACTTACTATACTATTTCTTTTTTGACTTACAATATTATGACGTTTTTATGTCTCTCTATAGTTTGACTTTTTAAACCTTACTATACTATGACATTTTTATGACTTACTATACTCGATATTTTTTTATGTCTCACGTTATTATGACGTTTTTATGACTTACTATACTATGACGTTTTACGCCTTACTATACTATGACGTTTTTATGACTTATTATACTATGACGTTTTATGTCTTACTATACTATGACGTTTTTATGTCTTTCTATAATTTGACTTTTTATGCCTTACTATACTATGACGTTTTTATGTCTTTCTATAATTTGACTTTTTATGCCTTACTATACTATGACGTTTTTTATGACTTACTATACTATGACGTTTTATGCCTTACTATACTATGACGTTTTTTATGACTGACTATACTATGACGTTTTATGACTTACTATACTATGACGTTTTTTATGACTGACTATACTATGACGTTTTATGACTTACTATACTATGACGTTTTATGCCTTACTATACTATGACGTTTTTTATGACTGACTATACTATGACGTTTTATGACTTACTATACTATGACGTTTTTTATGACTGACTATACTATGACGTTTTATGACTTACTATACTATGACGTTTTATGCCTTACTATACTATGACGTTTTTTATGACTTACTATACTATGACGTTTTATGCCTTAATATACTATGATGTTTTTATGTTTTATTATACTATAATTTTTTTGGACTTACTATACTATGACATTTTTATGACTTACTATACTATGATTTTTTTTTTTTTTTACTTTCTATACTATGACGTTTTATGCCTTGCTATAATTTGATGTTTTTATGACTTACTATACTATTTTTTTTTTACTAACAATATTATGTTTTATGTCTTACTATACTATGACATTTTTATGACTTATTATACTATGACGTTTTATGTCTTACTATACTATGACGTTTTATGTCTTACTATACTATGACGTTTTATGTCTTACTATACTATGACGTTTTATGTCTTACTATACTATGACGTTTTATGTCTTACTATACTATGACGTTTTATGTCTTACTATACTATGACGTTTTATGTCTTACTATACTATGACGTTTTATGTCTTACTATACTATGACGTTTTATGTCTTACTATACTATGACGTTTTATGTCTTACTATACTATGACGTTTTATGTCTTACTATACTATGACATTTTTATGACTTACTATACTATGATTTTTTTTTTACTTATTATACTATCACGTTTTATGCCTTTACTATACTATGATTTATTTTTTTACTTACTATACTGTAACATTTTTATGACATACTATACTATGATGTTTTTTTTTACTTACTATACTATAACATGTTTATGACTTACTATACTATGATGTTTTATGCCTTATCATACTATGATGCTTTTATGACTTACTGTACTATAAATTTTTTGACTTACTATACTATGACGTTTTTATGACTTACTATACTATGACGTTTTATGCCTTGGTATAATTTGATGTTTTTATGCCTTACTATACTATTTTTTTTTTGACTTACAATATTATGTTTTATGTCTTACTATACTATGACGTTTTTATGTCTTTCTATAATTTGACTTTTTATGCCTTACTATACTATGACGTTTTTTATGACTTAC